TCCACTTTAAAACACCTCCAACACTTCTTTTTAATGCAATTGCAAGTCTTTATTTTGTTCAGAATTTAACAAGGCAGTAGAGGAGATTCTTGAGCAACATTTCAAACGATATACGTATATACCGTGCTTATGCAATAGCTATTGAATGCAATTAATCTGTGAATACCATTTCACCAAGCCAAGATTTCACTGACTTGCCTTCAAACTCAGCATCGAATACCTGAAATGCCAGGGAACAGTCACTTGCTTTTCTTTAGTTCAGTAATACAGAAATAGTTAAACCTATTTGCTGATGTTTGGGAACTCTGTTGATTTTATTTCTTGCAGCAAATAGTATATGTGCAACAACTCATGAAAGGTAGCTCTACCTTTACAATTATGCTATAATCTGGATAGATACACAATGCCTGACTTTTGAAAGAATCTAACCTTCTACGACTACAATAGTGAATGATAATTTTTCTCGATCTTAGTCAGATCAACCACTTATATATTTGGAGCTGCGGCGATTCAATACTGTGTGTAAATTTAATAAGAAAAGGAAGATAAAATCATGTGAAAAGAACTATATATATCGATTTGTTGCCTTTTTCCTAGAACAACCTTTCTTGCTCAAGTTGGTAATTGAATGAGCGGTTTTGCCCACAGTGCGGCAAGCATAAAAGCCAAGATTTGGGGCGTTTGTGGGGGAGTGTGTGTGTGTGTTTGTGTGTGTGCGTGTGTGTGCTTGATTACTGGCGTAAGCTCGTGTGCGTTTGCTTACTTAAGCTGCTGTTAACTTAAGTATAACAATGATTAGGATAACGTCGGGCATTCGGTTACCTGCTCCTGTTTTCCCCCACTTTCATTCCCCTTCCCCTCTTCTTCCCCTCTTCCTTCCCCTCCCCTCTTCTTTCCCCTCTTATTTCCCCCACCCTTCATACGTGTTTGCACCTTATTTATTTGGCACTTTGCCTCCGCTCGCATGGGTTTGAGCCACTTGCCCAGGCATCCCCTTAAGTAATTGGAATGGCTAAGATTGGGCTTTATCGCCAGTTGAGTTGCCTGTCTCCATAATTTGCCTGTTACCCCGTCGTGAATCTAAGCCCCAAGTCAGTCCATTACGCAAACGCTTACCGATCACTCGGGCCCCTTTGAAATATCACCTTTGCACATCATTGAGTGGCAGTAAGTGCACATGGCATTTAATTTCAAGCCCTGTTCTGATTTTCGCATTCGGGTGCCAAGCCCTTCATTTGCACCCGAATCTGCCTTCTGCAAAATTGAATACCTTTTGGGCTTAGGAACTCACAGCTTGGGTATCAATTAGCTAAATACGTCACAGGAAAGCGTTTGAGCCCTAAGATCGTTGCAAACCTACTGCTGTCAATATCTCTGATGCCTTTAGAAACTCTCGATTTTCACGCAGCTTTGATTGTTATTACTATTTTTGGCAACAGTGTTTCCAATGGGGTTTTAGATTATTGTAAATAACCGAACAAGTTGACTCCAGCGCTTCCTATTTAATTATCAGTGTGTTCGTACATGGATATTGCTATATTTTCATTTAAACAATTTAAGCAAAATAAAGTATACGCATAAACTTATCATTAATGTGGGAATAGCAGATTCATTTGGGGTAAATTCTATTTAGTTAAATATACTTAATGCTGGGTTTCAAACGAATACATTTATTAACTAGTGTTTTTTTTTTTCTTTACTTGTGCTTTAGCAGATCTGTTCTGTTTTTTAATTAACTGCTCGAACACAAAATGAAAATAAGAAGAATATTGACTCCACACTGTTATCAAAATATCTGTTCTGTTTAAATTGTTTCTCCCAACAATAACAATTATCTTTTTTTTTTAAAAAGTATTAGGTTTAGTCTCGCTTAATTTAACCTTTCAAGGAAAACAAGCTTATTTCAGAATGACTTTGAATAAATTATCGCATTATTTTTTTGTTATATTTTTTAAGGGTATTTTTGTACTTTATTCGTGCTTATTATCCTTGTTGCTAAGCTGCAATTTGATCCTTGCTGGAACACAACAATAACTAATAATATTCATTAATAAGATAATTCTTTTTCTCGTTATTAATAGCCGTTTTCAGGGTAAAATATTGATTGATTCTCATATTATTCAAAAAAAGTTAGCTTTGCAAAACAATAACTAGAAGCAAAAAAATCCAGTGCAGTTGACAATTTCGCGCAGCTTTTTGTCCTCCGGCCATTTGGACCATTTGCAGTCATTGCTTTCACGGCTCGCTTTTTAATTGAGGATAAAAGCTGTTGGGGAGTTGCCTTTTCCCTTCCTATTTCCCGGCGGAAAAGCGGCTGGAAAAAAGTGGGTAACAAGCGTGTTGAGCCGGCAGTGTTTTGTGTAATTTTCGGGAAAAACCAAAGCCCAGCAATCTCATAATGCGTCGTCGCATTCATTCGTTTTCTTTTGTGTGGGAAAGCCGGAAAAGCCACGCAACCCTTGTCTCTGGCCACTTGTCATAAATAAGCAGTGCAGCTTGCAGGCCAGCCCAATTTCCATCCCCGATTTCCCCCCGCCCCCCTGCCCCCCATTTTCCATCCACAATCCTTGCTCGCACTTCGAATCCCTGGGCTCTCGCATCGAACGAGCGAATTCAATTTAACGAGAAATTGCAACAATCAACGCTGCTCCTGTGTCCTGTTTTCCGTGCCTCTGCCCCTTCCACAGAGGATTTCCCACGCACCCCCTGGACTTACCAGACCTCCCCTCCCCCCCGTGGCAGGCCACGCCCCCTCCACACATTCTGCGGACATCGTGGGGCGGGTGTAAAAAAATGACCGAAAAACAGCAAACACAAACACAAATGTTCAGACAATAGCAAGGATTCCGAGCAACAGGAGCCGCTACAACAACGGGAAAGGGCGGTCAGAGGCAGCTGGAAAAGGGGTGGGAAGGGGAAGGGGGAGGGGGAGGGGGAACATGTGGCGGAGACCGACTGCAAGGGGCACGAAAAAATCGGGGCCAGAAAAAGGCAGCGTATGCCAACAATGTAATTTTGACGCTTGATCTCGACGGATACACATGCACATGCATCGCTGCACAGAGAGAAATTAAAGAGAGAAACAAATGCAGTTGGATATATTTCCTGGTAAAGGATACTATAACAAATATCATGAAAGTTGAAGGTGATCTCCAAGTGGTGTGAGTCAGAATCTATCGACCATTAACAAACTAAATAGCTTCTAGTAAAAAGCGAAATAAGTGCATCTTATGTTTGAATCCTTTACAAGCATATTGTGTCCTTGATAAAACATGTACGAAATCTATATTCAGTTATTCCTTCAGTTGGGACTTCTTTATTCAAGTGCTTTAAATTTAATTTCACATGTAGGTTCATATGAGCAGCAACTGCAAAATGGCAGACGGAAAACCCGTTGGCTTCACAAAAAAGAACAGAATCAAAAAACTTTCTAGATAATGGACACCGAGGAATTCGGTGGTCGCAGCTCACAAAAAATGGAATTCGTAAAAGGAAAGCGTGGCGAAGCGTTAAATACCCTACGCAAAGGTGAGCTGAATTTCTTTCAATATAATCTGTTCTATTTCTCTAAAGAAAAAAGCAGGATGTTAACAACTAGATATTCAAGAGTTCTTTAGGTATTCATTCACCTTATAGATTCTCCCCAAATGGCCATATAAATTCGGATTAAATCAAAAAGATTAATAGTAGTAGTAGATGGTAATCGGGGATATATCTCGATGTAGGGTATATCCCCCAGGGGGGGGAGCTGGCATGCCTAACCACTTGTGTGCGGATCTCAGTGTGTTTGCTTGGGGGTTTTGCAGCGTTTTTAGTCCGTTTTTCACGCGTTTTTCGCGCGACTTTTGTGTGGTGCATTATTACTGTCGAAACGCCAGCAGCTCCCCCGCCCTTCGCCCCTCTTTTCCCGCTTTTCCCGCTATTTCCCACTTTTCCCGCTCTCGCCACCCGCAAAGCCTCATAATATTTCATGGCTGTTGCAGATTGTTGACATTTTGGCTGCCCCGAACCTCCAGGCTCCAGGACCTCCCCTTCCCTTTTCCCCTCGCCCCCTTTTTTATTCCGGGCTGCTGTAGATGTTTCGATTATGCGGCAAACGGGAGTGCGAAGGGGCTTTCTGGGGGTGGCGGAGTGGGAGTTGGGTGCTCTACAAAGCAGCCACTGCAGCGGATGCAAACAAACGCGGGAAAGTGTGTGCAGGGGCGCGACGAAGGGGGGAAGTGGGCGGTATTCAGAGGAAGGTGCGGTTCAAAGGGGAGGGTGCATCCGCAGTCGCGTGCAAACAGGATAAAACGCGCATCTGTCGCAGTGTCCGTCATCATCGTCCTCATCACTTCCATCATCGCGGAGCATCCTCTATCCTCCATCCTCCATCCACAATTTCCCATCCGCCGGGAAGTTGCAGCGGACATGTCCGTTGTTTTGATGCGACTTTCGGTTCACTCGACAAGTAGGTGAATCCAGGGAGGGGAGAGAAGGGGGCTTAGGGAATTGCGGGAAACTCAGATCGGAGAAACCCTTCAGAGGTTTCAAGTGGAAGTCATCAAAGTTTATTCGAAATTAATGGAATAATTATTATACTCTCAGTTGGCAGTCTAATCAGCAGCCACATTTGTTAAGGGAACTCATGGTAATCGTGCTTGTTTAAATGCCCTAAAGAGTGTCATGATAAGCGGATAATCAATAGAACTGTCAGTGGAATACTTGGTGATTACACGGACGAAAAGTCTTCTTTATGTAACGAACAAGTCATACAACGTTTACTTGCTGCATCGAGAAATATTAGAGCTTTGTTTTGTTTTTAATTAACGACTATTCATTTGCAATTGTCTTAATAAAAAATACATTTGTTTTGGAATCATTTACTGATCAATGAATGATCTCAGATGATTTTGGGTCTATTTTTGAAGACAGTTAAGGTTAACCTTCCACTTTGTTCAGAGATCCTTTACTGAGCTCAGGGGAAATCCGATCCCAGTAGTCGGCAGAGATCGCTCGAATCTCATCACTTCCGTTTCGTTCCGCTCCGTTCCGCCTTACACACACACACACTCACTTATACACACATACACATCCTCGAGCAGTCCAATCTGGCAGTGGATTATTTATCCGCACTCAGGATGAACGCCGACGTCTGCGTGGTGGTCACCGTTCCCACCGCCGCGGAGGAGCTGCGCTCCAGGGAGCGCTCCCCCCACTCCCTTCGCTCTCCCCACTTGCACCACTCCTGTCACTCCCTCCACACTCCCCACTCTCCCCGCTGCTCCAACTGCGGATCGTCCCCGAAGAGAGGGGACCACTGCGAGCGCTGCTGGCGCCTGAGCCAGATAGCAGGCAACTCTCCGCCAGCAGCAGGAAGCAGGAGGAGCGGGATGAGCGGGAGGAGCGGGAGGAACCCAGCGGAGGAGGCCACGCTGGAGCGGCTGCTGCGTTCCCTCGCCGGGGAGCTGCGCCTGGAGGAGGCGGTCTTCTGGACGCAGGACGTCGCGGGCAGGCGGCTGCAGGCGCGCTTCCACCTCCAGAAGGACGAGCGGTTCGAGCGGCTGCTCCGCGCTCTGCGGGATTGGGGCGTGGGCGAGCGGAGTGGCACTCACTTCGAGGCACTCGCCTGCTTGGAAACAAGGGCCAGAACGAGTCCAGGGAGCCCCCTTCCCCACCAGGAGCAGGACCGCGAGCAGGAGGAGCACGAGCAGGAGGAGCTGGGCGGCCTGGGGTGGCAGAGCTTCGTGGACTCCGTGCGATGCCGCTTGAATGTGAACCAGGTGGTGCGGCAGGTGCGCAGGGACGCCGCTCTGACCTTCGACTCGGTGGTGCTGCTGGCGGCAGCCGCCCTTCTCTCGTGTGTGGGCCTCGCGGAGAACAGCTTCCTGTTCCTGTCCAGCTCCATGCTGATCTCCCCGCTGATGGGACCCGTGGTGGCGGCCACCTTCGGCTCGGTGATCGGCGACCGGGAGCTGCGCTGGCTGGGATTGCGGAACGAGCTGCTGGGCATCGCCGTTTCGGCGGCCACCGGCTTCTCCTTCGGAGCGCTCCTCTGCGTCTGCGGCTTGGGCCGCTTCTTCGCCATCTCCTCCGGACTCACCGAGGAGATCCTCTCGCGCTGCGACCTCCACTCCCTCGCTCTCGGGGTGTGCACCGCCTTGGCTTCTGGAGCAGCGGGCGCCATCGCGGTGCTGGGCGGGAACGCGGGTTCGCTGGTGGGCGTGGCCATCTCCGCCTCGCTCCTGCCGCCGGCGGTGAACGCGGGGATGCTCTGGGCACTGGCCGTGGGAGCCCAGCTGCTGCCGGAGGAGCACCCGCTGCTGGCGAGCCTGCGGAGGCGCCGCTCCTACTCCGCGCAACTCTCCGTGGAGCTGGTCGCCTGCGCGGCGGTCAGCATGGCGCTGACCCTGCTGAACGTGGTCTGCGTTTGGCTGGCGGGGGGTGCTGGTGCTGCGGGTGAAGGAGGTGGCTCCGGCGGTGCGGCGACACCAGCAGTTCTGGCGCCACGATGTGCGCACCGCCCGCCAGGTGGCGCACTTGGACCCCGCCCTGCAGAGCGCCATCGATCGGCTGGACGAGGCGCAGCTGGACGTGGAGGCGCCGCACTACCAGCGCACCTGGTCGCCGGAAACGGGTAACCACCAGGGATCCGGGGGGTCCAAGGAGCGGCCGGACAACTACCACACGGTCCACGGGTTCCGGGAGTTCTGCATTACGCTCCACCGACTGAAAGCCACTCCCCGGGGAGTCCAGCCGCCCAGTGTGATGGAGCTGTTCGACTTGGGCTCCACCCCCGGAGGAGGGGGAGCGAGTCCTGGGGGGATCGCCACCTGCGGAGTGTCCACTGGCCGAGGGAGGAGGGAAAAGCGGAGGAGGAGAAGCTCCTTCTGGAGGGAAGTCCTCCTGCGAGCAGCTCGTTCCTTCCAGGAAGGGAGGAGAGTGCCCCCGTCGATCGACCGCTGAGGGTGCTGGCCCGCGGGAGGTCAGGGGTCACGCAGGAGGAGGGGGCGGAGGAACCGGAGGGGGAGGAGCAGGAGGAGTTCCAGGCTTAGCAGCGTGGAGAGCAGCGCAAACAGGACGGCAGCCTTCGGGGCTTCGAGTCCAGCTCTGATTGCTCGCTCCTCGCCGATGTCCTTGTTTGCCAACCACTCCATGCCGCCAGCACTGGCGGTCGCCAAACGGGAAAAGTACATACCGGGGACTACATGGATGGAAGTGGAAACTGCTGAAAATTGAGGAAAACACCAGCGAGTATAAACTTTAAAGGCGAGCTAAATCCAGTGGGAAATCCGGTGGTTCGCGGTCCCAGTTAACCACGTATTTAAATGGCCCTCAGGAAGAGGTCCTTAATTTAAAGGACGGGAGCACTTTTATTGATCGGATGCAAGCTAAATTAAGAGCCCCTTTAAGCCAAGTGAAATTGCCAACTTGCATAGTTACTTTGTACTTTAAGAGGAAAACATAAACATGTATACTGTTTTAATCCTGAACAACTATCTCCACCGATAGCAAGTAATTATTGAATTTCGAATATGTAAAGCTAGACTATGTTTGCAACATTACCAACCCAAAAGTTAGTTTATACTCGTACTTCAATGCAAAATCAAATATCTAGTTGATTATGGAATGTATTTCAATCATAAACAAAGTATCTACATCGATAACGGGTTGTTACAAAGTTAAGCTATGACTTCCGAATATGTCCACTATTGGCCGTGTTTGCACTTAAACTGTCAATTCCTTATGGGCCAAATCGAAGCAGATCATAGTGTGTAAAAGATAAAAGGAAAGCTCTGAAAGAAATTGCCGCAGGTCGGTTGACTTTTCACTCCACTCACTCGAATTCCCCTCCCTGCAGGTTGGCCACCATTAAAACCTTTAATTTGGACAAGAGGGCTGGCCAATGGAGGATGTCCCGCTTAATTCACTTGCCACCGAGCAGATTGCCGGCCATCGGGGGGTCCTGGCCTCGATTTCCTCCTTGTCTTCTCCACTGCCAACGGAAGCCAACCAGCGATAAGTCGAAGGACATCGAACGCAGCTGCTGCTGTTGTGGTTCTCCTTTAAGAAATTCATTTCGTTTTAAATTTTGTTGTTTTAATTCAATTTTGTTATAAACCGATGAGAGCATTATCCCAAATAAGTGTTTAAACCTCACATTGCTTTGTGGTTTTTAGTTTTGAACAATGTATTTCACCTGTTGCCATTTTGTTTTTATCAATCTGTAATAACCTTTTGCATTAATACGGCTTTAATAATTTTAATCAACTCAATCAAACCTAATAAACCTGTTTATATTCGGCTATTGTCTTGCTGCCATTTCAGGAGTTAGAAAACTCCTCGCTGACAATAACCGAGTGTCTATCAATCGAGGGCCGAATCGCCTTGTTAGGGCTTTTCCCTTTTTCGGAGGAGCGCTTCCTTGGATTGATTGTTTTATCGCTCGCTTCCTTTTGTTGGCCATTTCACGTGCCATTATCCTGGCCGTGTGAGCCATCTCATCTCGTTCGCTCGCCCATTAGGTGGCAACAACAATTACGTGTTGCGCTTATATTGCGGCCAGCTCGTTTGTTTTCCCGCCCACTGACCCTCCCCCTCCCCTTCTCGTTCCTCCTGCGACATGCATCCCTTGGCCAGGACAAACAGGAGAAGTGCGAAAAAGGATACGAGCCACGTGTGATTGCGCTTTGATGTGCCCCCCGTGGTTGTATTTTCTCTAATGTTTATTTGCCATTTTAGCGCCTGTTCTGTTCTGTTCTGTTCTGTTCCGTTTTGTTGTGCTGTGTTGTGTTTTGTCCTGTTGCACCAATTCCCACTCCACTCCGCTCCGCTCCTCGTCCTTCCGTTGCCAGTTTGCCGTTGTCCTGTTTGGCCAAGACAGGTGCGACATTTGGCATGTCCACGCAATTAGCGCCCTTGTCCGAAGTCCGTTTCCCGTTTCCCATTTTCCGCTTTCCCATTTTCCCATTTGCCCTGCAACACCCACACCCACACCCACATCTACACCTACACCTTTGTCCTTCGTCCTTGCGGCCATCGATTAACTCGTTTTCGCCGACCGGCCACTAACGAGGCCACATTTGTCCAGCCATCGATGAGCGGACGAGGCCAAAACAAACCGAAGGCCACTCGAAAAAACAATGAAACATCGCACTTCACTTCTGAGATAATGGCTATGCGAACTCATAAATTAAAAATAGAAAAGATTTTGTCTACAAACTTAAAAAGTTCTTAATTGCAAAGCTGGTTTTCTTTAGTGAACAAAACAATGTTCTTATATTTTTCCAAAAAGAGAAACACAATTTATAGAATTATTTTTAACAAATTGATTAATTGATAATAAATTGATTATTAAATTAGTTATGCCCAAGCCCTTTCCCTCCATTGAAGTTCAGCTTTTTACAAATGATATCCCACTTGTTTACCTTTTTTCTCAGTGCACTCGTACGGGCGTCAAGTGCCTTTGCAAGAGCATATTCCCCGTATAATTTTATGATGGATGTGGCCACTTACGGGAGATCCGTTTTAGTGGATGAGTCAGCAGGTTTATGTGGATGAGGTTTAGGTTTTGGTTAATCCTTTCTTAGCACTTCCGACTTGGAGTATGTATATTAGCAAGTTTATTTGTAAGATTTCGTACAGATCCTTAAAATATGTTTTGGTTTTAAAAGATCTAAAACAATAATACGAACTCTAATCTGATAAATAAACCTTTAATACACATATTTATTTATTTATGCTCGGGTTAAATACTCATCCAATAATTTTAAATTGAATAAAACACGAAACAAACTGTTTTACAGGGATACGATTAAATCTCGCCACCTCGTAAATTAAATTATTTAAATAGTTTTGCTTGGGAAAACGGAGACTCATCATTTCCCAATCGACTTCTCCGCAGTTCTGCTGCCTTTCTACATGTTGCATTGCCAGGATTTTGTCAGCGCCTTGGATGTCTGTGTCCGGCTCATTATTTAGCATAATTATTTATAGTTTTATTTATCACTCTTGGCAAGTTTTTACGGTCGCTTCCGTCGCCGGCGAACAAAAGGGGCAGAAGCCCAGCCAACAGCCAGCAGAACTTTGCTGGGCCAGAAAAAGCGGGGAAAATCCGCTAAGGAGCGGGGGAATTGCAGATGGATGGGGTGGAGGGGGAGGGGGAAAGCCTTGGACTCCGGGGAGCAGGACAAGGTAAAACATTTAATATTAGCTGGAGCAAGAATGGCAGCAGGGCGAAACTTTGATCCTTTTGTGCGCTGCGTCTGCTGCACTGCTGCACTGCTGCCCCACCGGAATCAGAAGGCAAGGATATTCTCCACTGGGAGAAAACAGTTCCTCTTAGGCAAGCAAATAGTGGAAAATACTCAAAGCATAAGGAAGCTTTCTCTGCAGTTTCGAATTTATGGATTAGGGTATCCTAAGTAATGGATATATCATTTGCTCTGTTAATAAATGCGATTAGAATGTTTTAATCCTTAAAAACTCTTTTCTTGAAAGGTTTCTCTCCTTATTCTTATTCTTCTTTTTCGCATTGAATGATCTTAAACAAAATGAATTAATTTGGTATTGAATGGACTTTTTTCGGCTGATTTGCTCTGGGCTCAGGCTTGCACCCTGACTTCCCTAGGAGTGTACTTGCCCCTGCTGCCTTGTGGCAGCCTCAGTGCTTAAAATAGTTGCACCTTTGGCCACTCCACTGCCAAGAAATCCAGCGCTGTGGCAAGTGGAAAGTGGCAAGTGGCAAGGTGAAAGTGGAGGGAGAGTGGGAGTGGAGTGGAGAGCAGTCGAGTGGAGTGGCTGCCAGTGGAGTGGACTGGACAGGATTGTTGTGCAGTTTCCCTATTTCCCATCTTGCTTCCCATTCTCCCTCCGAGGTTTTTCCCTCGCATACTCGTATTTTCGGACACTGCTGGCGGATTACGGAGCACATGCTTAGTGCCTATTATTTATGGACCCTTGAAAGTGCAGCAGCTGCAGCTGCAGTGGCAGCCACAAGAAGCCATCGCCACAACATGCTCAATTGATTTCTGGGTCCCTCGTCCCTGGTCCAACCTCCAATCTCCAACGTCCTTTGTCCTCCGAGAACAGATCCCTCACTATTCCGGATTAGGCCGCACTTGGCATCGCAATCAGGTGTTTTGCAGCTTCTTCCCTTGGCCAAGTTAATATCGGAGGCAATGGGCCGCTTTATGCTGCATTAACAGCATTTGCTTACCTCATCTCCAGTCGTCGGTTTTCCCATTGTTCTCCCTTGATTCTCGTGCCACTTCGAATACGATTTCGATAATGATGAAGATTAAGGAGCAGGAGCTGCTCAAATGAATCCATCCTCAAGCCCGGTTGCAACCAAAGAACCTACTCAAGTATGCCAACAGATTAACAGTGGGTTCTGTAGCAAGTCACACTCTAATGTTTTCCCATTAACTTTTACAATACTGCAGCCAGGATCTAGTAAAGAGTATACTTATTGTTTGAAGCACATATTAGAACGTTACTCCTGATATTTTTTTATGGCCAAAACGTATTAATTGCAACTGCAAAGGACTCTGATTTTCCCCCTTAGCAAGAGCTTTTCCCCAAATCCCCATCTTCCAGCCGAATCACTTTTTTGTGAACTTGCAACTCGGGGCGAACTTCGCCTGGGCAACAAATTGCACTGGCTTTGTCTTTGAGATGCGTTTTAATCTGGCCATTGTTCCTCGTCCTTTGCGCTTCCTCTTCCTTCCTGCCACTCCGCCTTGTAAATTATGTGTTTTAATATTTTACAAAGACTCAAAAACTGAGGACTTTGTTTATAATCTTATGCCCGTTTTCCCCATCTCCGTCTCCGTCTCACTCCTTTCTCGGCTTTAATAAGCCCCCGAGAAGGGCGCACCCTCGAAAGTGGGCGTGGCCAGCGGGGGCTGTAAATATAAATAACTGCAAAGGACCAAAGATCCGACAGGCGACGAACAGAAATAACAGAAAAATGCTTCTGTAATAACATTTAATTTGCACAGAGAGGAATTCCTGCAGCTCGCGTTTATTTGCATTTGTTTGCATTCGCTGCTTAACCCTTTTGCGACCCAACTGGGCATTCACTGCTTAACCCTTTTGCGACCCAACTGGGCATTCGCTGCTTAACCCTTTTGCGACCCAACTGGGCTTGATAACTGCCGGCTGCCAACTCGATTAGGCCAAGTTCCGGCTGAACACTTGGGATTTTCTGGAAGGGATTGTGGGGTTTCTCAAACCACACAAAAAGAAATTGGTCCCGAAAACCTAACCATATTGTTTATAGTGCCTTAAGTTCCCTAAAAGAAATAACATTTTTAGCAACTTCACCTAAATGTAGTGCTTTAAAGAGTGTGTTGGGCACACTAAACAATTATCAAGAAAACAGAAAAAATAGATACTACTTATATAAAGAAAACCCCGCCAACTTTAATGCAGTCTTCTGTATTAAGTTATCAAGAAGGCAAAATGCAACGTATTTCTTCCCATTAAACTCCGCCTC